GGACCTTCAGACAGTCGTGGGTGACACGGGCTCTGAGGTCAGACAGGGCAGGGCCGAGAGGACGGGCGGGGCACCTAGCTGCTGAGCAGAGATGGGGGTCTCGCTGAAGAGGGCCTGGGGGACCCCGAGCGGTGCAGGAGCTGAGCTGTGATGGGGGGACAGTGCGGCCCCATGTGACAGTGCCTCAGAAACGTCCAGCTGGCAGTGAGGAGGGACAGCCAAGCAGAGCTGGGGACCCCGGGGATCCTCTGTGTACAGGACATCCCGGTGGAACGCCCTCCCGCCGTGGGCAGGAGACACCAGGGAGCCACAGACAGACCTGGAGCCAGTCTCTCCTGGTCCGTTCAGCCTGCCAGTCCCCGCCGTCCTCAGATCCGGGTGTCCTGGCCCATGGCGGCACAGCGGCCCTGGTCTCAGCAGGGCAAGAGCTCAACATGTGTGTAATTCCAGAGCTCCTGTACTCCTTTCTCTGCCTGAGAAGGGGCTGGAGCACCGCCCCATGGGGGGGGACAGTCTGCACTGGCCCTCGGAGAGCTCTGGATGCCCCAGAAACCAAGGAACGGATGCCCACGAAGCCCCCCGACTGACCCCGAGTAGGCAGCCGACCATCAGGTGAAGGACGGGGGTGGGGGGGAGACGGAAAGGAAAAGTCCAGACGACTTGGGGGAGGAGAGGACGGGTGGGGTGGGGGGTGGGGGTCCTCTGCAGGCGCTCCTTGAGACTCCCAGCCCAGAGCGACTGGCAATGCCAGGAATCTCCCCGGCTCCCCGCCGCCCCTCCCTGCAGCATTCCAAGGGCTGCGTTTTTTCCCCCTGAAATATCAGTAGCATGAGAGAGGAATCCAGTGTGGGGTCCCAGGGGCACCCTCCCCACCCCGCCTGCCTGCCAAGCTGAAAGATGAGTGGGTGGGAAGAGGCCAACGACCCCCCCTCCCCAGCCCCAGCCGGGACAAGCAGCGCTCCCTCTGAGCCTCCCTTCCGTGACGAAGAGGTCAGAGCCACAGAGGCCCTGGCTGGGTCACCGGCGAGGAAGGAGGGGCCCAGGCAGGGAGGACAGGCTGGAAGGCGGAGAGGGACTCCGAGGACCGGGTGTCAGGCTGAGGCCGCTGTGCCTCTGCTCGCCAGCAAGGGCTCTCCTGACGAGAGCTGTGCCCCACTGGGCAGCGACCTCGGTCCCCACAGCACTGGGCAGAGACCCCAGTCCTCACTGCTGGGTGGTGACCTGGGTCCCCAGCCCAGTGCTGGGCGGCGCCCCCTGTCCCTGATGCTGAGACACCCAGCACTGCACCAGCCCATGCTCCGTGGGTGGAACCACATGACAAGGACTGGCCTAAAGGAAGGAGCCCACGCAGAGGTGCAGCCGCCAGAGGCAGAGAGTCAGGGCTGAGGAAGGGCCGGGCACTGAGCTGCCGCTCCCGGAGTCTGTTGGACGGAGGAGCTGAAGGAAGGCTGAGATCACGCCTCTAACGTGGCCATGAACACACGTCCAGTGAATGCCGGGAAATGGTTGAGGGGAGGCCGGGAGTCTCACGTCTTTCTCCCGCAGGAGTTCTGCCACCACCTGACGCTCTCCTGCCCCAGGGCAGTTGTTTGAGAACAGAAGGGTTTGCTCATCTCAGTCTTGAGCACAATGGCTGACACGGCAGATGTACAATGACCACTGAAATTTTAAGTCAGTGGGTGATGTCATGGAGATGGACAGTAGGATGGGAGGTTGCTGGGGGAGGGGACGGGGAGTCGGGGTTGATGGGACGGAGCTTCAGTTTAGGAAGGTGAAGGGAATTTTCTGGCTGGATGGTGGGGACGGTTGTGCAGCGGCGAGAACATACTGAACGCCGCTGAGCTGTACACTGACAACGGCCAATGGGTATCTCGCCCCAGCTGAAAACTGAAATTTAGAAGAGACACCAGTGGACGATGGCAAACAGTGGAAGGAAACAGCCGGTGTCACAGCTGCCAGGCCACAGAACCACAGATTGAAAACCGGCACAAATTCTCGGCTACACTCCACCAAGAGCTGTGCTCCGTTCCCCACACCCTGAATCCGGGCGGGGCTGTCCCTCGATCTGACCAGCAGAAGGCGGTGGAAGTGACACTGTGTGGCTAGCACACCTGAGCGTGGAGAGGCCCAGTGAGCTCTTCCTCCACCACGTGTGGGGCCAGCTGACAGCCAGGCCCGTGGACACACCTGGAAGTGAGGTTTTCTCAGCCTCCCTCAGGCTGTCAGATGACCCAGGAGTCACGTGGGGAGGCCAGCAGGAGACCTCTGAGCCCGCTGAGCCCCGCCCACTGCCCTGACGGCTGACGGCTGACCCGCAGAATCCCGAAGCCTGGGGCGGTCTGTTGTGTCAACAGACCACGGAGGAATCTGCTCCGGGAGAGCAAGCCACAGGCTCCGAGTCTCCGCCCTGCACTCGGAGTTCAGGCCACCCGCTCCGGCTAAAGCCACCTCCTGTCTGCAGCCCTCCAGAGGGGTTCTGATCAGTCTGTAGTCCTGAGGCAGAGAGTGACACAGTCCAGGACGCAGGGGACAGGGCGCTCCAAGCCTGAGGCTGGGAGAGGTGGGTGGGGGACTTTGTAAAACTCAACGTTGGCTCAGGGGGACAGAGGTGGGGACAGCTCCTCTGCTCTCTGGAATGCTGCCCATGAGGCACTGACCCTACACAACACAAATCTGTCCCCGAGAGGCCAAACCAAAAGGCGAGAACACACCGTGAGCGCCCCATCCACGAAATAAGCTGCTTCTCGCTGAAGGGGAACCGGAAATGGAATGAGAACTCTGACCCGCAAAGGCTGCGCTTTTGGCCACAAGGACACAAGTGAAAATGGGTGACACACTAACTTGATTTCATCGAGCCTTCTCAAATTCACCAGGTTCCCAAGGGACCCGCTGGTGTCTGTGGACAATGACGGCAAGCACAGGCGTGATGCATACCGGCCCGTATCAGCGTCCTGCTCTCCAGGCCTCGTCCAGGCACCTGTCTCCCACGCTGGCCCCGGGAGCTGAGCCCCGAGTGAGCAGCCACCCGGGCCCCACCCTGCTCTGGTCCTGGAATGTCATCTGTGCAGGCGAATTAACAAAGGGGAAGTGGGCCATTCCACAAAGAGCTGATTTGGGAACACTGAACAAGGTAAATTCTTGAGAACAGATAGTCTTATGGGGCTCACCATGGACTCAGGCCTTGGGACACCTTCAGTACGAATTTCGACTTCTCAGTGTCTGCGTTGCTGCGGTATCATCAGAGGAGGGCCCGCCCAGCCCGGGAAAATCCGTGCTGTTCCCCAGGTCACTTCACCTGGGTGTCGCTATCAGGGCTGAGCGCCGTTTGCCTGCTGCCCCCAGGTGTCGCCTACAGGACTTGTGCTTCTTGGTCACCCGTTCGGGGAGCCCACATGTATTCAAGGAAATTGAGTTCCCTGGCTGAACGCCAATGGGGTCGCCTGCAGCTTCCTTTACGAGGCACCAGACAAGGACTGAGGAGCTGAGGCCATTCCAGCCTGCTCCAGGACACCCTTCTTCGCTCCCTCCCACCCGACTCTCAGCTGCCCCTTCCACCAGTGTCCAGGTCCCTAGGGGGGCTCCGGCTTCCAGCCCAGCATGGCCCCTCACCTTGCTCTCTGCACAGACCCGGGGTTTTAACCTGCGGTGGAAGCAAAAGCAACGCATGCAGGATGCAGAGGTCTGCACCTCTGTTTCTCAAACGTCTGGGAGCCGGCGCGGTGGTCCACTGTAGGCAGAGGCTCCTGTGCTCTCGGAGAGACCACACCGCCCTTCTGCAGGAACACCGCGTGGTCCCAAACCACGCCTTAGTCTGACGTGAGGACCACCCCGACTCTCACGCGTCTCCCCAGCCTTCATTCGGGGCGGTCCGTGGTCATTCATCATGATTTATAATACTTCGATGATTCTTGTAACATAAATGCTAACTGCATGCAACCACACCAGCTGTCCTTACCCAGCTGAACCCTGGTCCAATATTTCACTCGAAGGCCCCCATGGACCCACCCCCACCCTCAAATGCCGCCTGGGGGCCCATTTCTACCAAGAGGAGCAACCGTGGGAACAAGAGAGAAACCAAGAACCACCCCCTGCAAGTGACGGGCTTGAAAGCCCCTGTCTGACCTCGAGTCTAATCCTTGCCGCCTCCATTATGGAAAGAACCCTCAGACACACAGCACTGAATGTTCTAGAAGGCAGAGCATGCTGGGCTTTTTTCCCTCCTTTTAGGTGGGTGAGAGACGCCTGCCTCCCTTCTGGTCTCTTTGCTGCTTATTAATACACTTCCACGGGGCAACTAGGGAGGATGGGGGAATACATTAAAAGCGGTGAAGCCTGATACTCTTAAGCAACTCTGGCAATAATAAAATAATAATAATAATAATAATAATAATAATAATAAACAATGACTGCCCGGGAGACCAGACTCAGCGTTTGTGACCCAAGGCCGGCTTCATTAACTCACACACACTCTCTCTCACACACACACCCGGAGACCGCAGCTGCATCCAGTACAAAGCCCCCTTCCCGCTCACTCTCGGGGCTCCCGCACCTTGGCCCTGACTCTTCCAGGCAACTCCACGGGACACGCCGTCTTGTCTGCCACTGTCTCCCTCGTCTCCATACCCACCCGACTTCCTGTCCCCTCCTGCCCTTCTGATTTCATTTGAATAACAGCAGCTGTCACCCTCTCCCACCCCCCAAAAAACATGGTTTTAAAGCTCTGCCGGCAGCTGTGCCCATGGAGCGCCCCCACCCAGGCGCCGAGTGCTGGTGGACGAGGCCGCAGCCCAGGCTGGCCCGCGAGGAGCCCGCTTCCCAGAAAGGCCGCCCCAGGCCCCTGGCGCCACAGCCTGCTACCTCATCCCCAGCCCCTCCCGCCTCCCCTGCGGCCCCACCAGCAGCGGGGCAGCTGCCTCCCCAGTCCAGAGGCTGGAAGAAAAACACGCAACGATGCAATTCTTTTTAAGCGAACAAGCAGATCTAAATTTAATCCGACTTACCCTCGTTTCCCAGGAGAAAGGGGCAGAGTGCTCATCTTGCCAAGTTATGTCCTGAAATGAAAAGTTCAAGAAGAAATCTGAAATCCAAGCCTGAACGCCCCGTGAAAGCATCCCCCACAGCCACGGGGGAACCAGAACCGAAGAGCAGTCCCAACGCCTGGCTCGGAGCGAGCCTGCTGTTTTGACGCTCTGCAGAGAATGTGCTGACCTCCCCGATCTGGCCGCAGCCGACCTTTCCGGCTGGGGCTGCCCGCACGCTGCTCCTTCCCGGCCAGACGGGCAGCGAGGGCCCCCTGGGACGCCCCCGGGGCCGGACTCAATGATGGGGATGCTGGGGAGAAAGGGGAGGGGGTTTTCGGGAGCAGGGCTCAGCCCAGCAGGGGTGAACCACGTGGTCAGGGGAGGACGCTTAGCCTTTCGAGCCCCGTTTCCTCATCTGTCTCAGGAGCACCACCGTTCCCTCACAAGGATGCCGTGAGGACCAGACGGGTGACGTAAGGAAGGAGCATGGGCGACGAGCTGCCGGTTCACGCTCACACAGCTGCGTCCCCGTGCCTCCCCACGTGTCTCCCAGAGACCTGAACGGCTCCGATCGGCACAATCAATGAAGAAAATGCCAACTTAACGCAAGTACCTAAATATAAGAACTGACACCACCCCCCACCCTCACCACACAGAGCATGCTAGAAAGAGCCCTTGCAAACGGCCGCTGAGAATTTGACCTTGGGCCCATTCCGTCTGCTCACTGACATAATGACAGGGAAACAGCCTTTGCTTGGGGACCCTCTGACCCACGGCTCTCTGCCTGTGCTGGCAAAGGCCTCATCTGTGCCCCACTTCTACCTGCTCCCGGACAGGGCTGCCCAGGGCCCGCTATGGAGTGCGGGTCCTTGACTCCACGCGGGAAAGATTGCACAGCACGAGCCCAGGGGACTGTGAGGGTCCATCTACTACAGCTGGGGACAGCGGGACAAGGAAGGGCTGAGTGCAGAAGAAGCAACAGGAGGGCCGAGGCTGGGCCACCTCCGCTCCCCAGGAAGTGGGAGAAAAGGGGCCTTGGGGACGGGTTTTGGGGACATTAGCCTGGGATCAGCTGCTGCTGCCCATTGCCTTAGAGTTCAGGAGACACCTGCCTATGGGGGAGGAAGTGGGAGGGGGGGCAGGGGAAGGGAAAGGGAATGGTGGGGCTGCTCCCCAGAGTGAGAACACATGAGTCCTGGGACCTTTGTCTTGAGGTTTTTCTCTCTCTCTTGCAGGCGGGAACCCTAGGGGAGGTCTCAGGGGAGGGTCTCAGCAGCATGCTCATCAGTTCCCCAGGTGTGCCCTTTGGGGGTCACGGTCTCCACCGAGGGGTCAGTGCCAGGGCAGGGGGGTCTTCAGTCACTGCAGGCGGTCCTGGGTTGCCTGCCTGGCTTTGCTGCTCTCCTGGGCCTGGAACTACCTCTGAGGCCTAGACGTCCTCTCCAGGGAGGAAAGGCCGGGGAGGAGAGGGTACCCTGGGGGTGAGGCCTGTTTTCCCAGGTTTGCCAGGCCTGGTGACCTCGTGCATCTGAGTGTAGACAGTTCAGCACTGAGTTCAGCTGCCTCAGTTTCCCTAGTGCACCTGCCAAGGAACTTCTCTCGCTTCTCACTGTCCTGTCTCCTGTTAGGGGTCAGATTTTCCAAACCAGAAATCAGGACATAGTGGGTGCTACAGGATAACATTTTTTAAGTTGAGTCTGTGCCCCCATAAATCACCCCAGGTAAATCGTGTCTTCTTCTTCTTCTTCCCCCGGGGAACCCCCCCCTCCACCCTCAAGCTGGGTTCACTGGCTCTCCCCTCCTCCCCGAGGCATCCCGGTCCAGCAGACATGACCCCACCTGACCCGACCCCCGCCCGGCTGCGTGTCTGCCAGCACACGGGCTGTGAGGCATAACGTTCAAAACGAGAGGGAGCTTGGGTCACCCTCCTCCCGCCTGGAATTTCAGTTAAACCCAAGTTATTTTCAGTTTACAAACCCTGTCCCTCCAAACAAGGAAATGCCCTGCCCGAAGGATGTGAGTTAAAGAGCGTTTGTGAGCAGGAGTCTCCCAGCAGTCGCTGTGGGCTCCTGCGTCCCGTCCCTCTGTGTGTGTGTGTGTGTGTGTGTGTGTGTGTGTGTGTGTGAGACAGAGGGGGTGGCAGAGGGGTGCGGCTGAGCGAAAGGACCCAAAGGTCCGTACAGTTCTATGATCTCGGGAACCCACAAGGTCTCAGCAGTCATAAGACAAGAAGGACTTTGTTTTCGGATGGGAAAAATAAAGGCAGCCGGTGGAATGTAAATATCACTTCATCTAGGTTTGGACCGGCAGGAGGAAGTAAAGGGATTTCAACGAACAAGTATGCTTCTGTGTCTGGGGGTGGGACAGCCCAGCAGCCATCTCGGTGGCCAGGGGCAGTGCATGCAGGCAGGGAAGGGGCAGGGCCCCCGGCCAAGGGCAGGGCACCCGGGGGCTGGACCCCCCTTACCATGGGATCCAATCTCCCTTCTAAATGTTAATTACGCAGCTTGAGTCCCTTTGAATCTGCAAAGGTTAAAATAAGGTTTCGGCCTTGGAAGGTGAATGAGTTCAAGACTCTAAGCCACACAGACCCAGCCCAGAACGTGGTGGGCCAGCAGCCTCCCGGGGACACGGCCCACGGGAGCTCCCGTTCCAAGGGGGTCAGAGCCGGGAGGGGTCAACTCTGTGGTTTCTCCCCAGTTTGGTCTCAAGTCAACAGTCGTTGTTTGCTCCAGCGAGAAACTGAGTCGAGGGGCACATTCCTTAGATTTCTGCAATCCTGAGCTCATAAAAAATAAAGTGCTCAAGGAAAAAAAAAAAAAAAAAAACATGCCAAACGAAAACGTGACCGAAGCTCCGATGCCGGGCACCGGCTGCACAGTCCAGCCCCGAACAGCGCTGGCGGCCAGCACAGGCTCCCCAGGCAGTGGGGTGCGAAGCGTGGCAGCAGGCACACGCACGTACAAACACACTCACACACACACAGCTGTCTTTCCTCTCACCCCACGACGACCAGCAGGCGGACCAAACTCGGCTGGGCGCATGCCTGTGGCCGATCACATCTGTCCTCGGCAGGGTGGCTTGGAAGGCTCCCCCACCTGCCTCCCTGGCGCCCGAGATCTGAAACTAAGCACCGAAACAGCTGCCCCCGAGCCCACAGGACAGCGGGGCGGCCTTCCTTCCGGCCCAGAGCTCTCCTCCGGGTTGAATTCCGCTCCAGGAGAGACATGCGGCCCAGAGACGGCCCCAAGTCTCTGGGAATGGCTGCTTCTCCAGAGCGCGGCCCGGGACAAAGAGCAGAGGAGCAGCCACAGAGCCACAGGGCACTTGGCTCCGGAGGGATGGCCACCCGAGGCCAGCACACACGTGGCGGGCTCTGGGGGTCCCCGCGTGACCCCGAGGACTGAGGACAGACACACACCAAGGATGTTTCATCACGGTCCAGAGGCCTGGGCTTCTGCTCTCGTCAGGGACATGTCCACCTGACACAATGTCACCTCCTAACAGACACAGTCGTTTTTTAAAAAGAATATGCATCCCCTGCCCATAGTCCTCGAATGCGTATTTGCAGGACAGCGCCAGCGTTTACTACTTGGACGAACAGGCCCCGGGGAGCTGGGGGGTCTCTGTGGGCCAGGGAGGTCTGCGTTCGGGGGCTGCAACTGGCGGCGGGCTGCAGCGGCCCGCCCCGCTCTGCAACGACTGTGGCGTTGCTGGCCACGCACTAAATCCACATAAAAATGGCCAGAATGGTGTATTTTGTTGGGAACATTCTACCACAATAAAAAGAAATCTGAAAAGGCTACACACGGTATGAATGAACCCAGCTCCACTGCCTTCTGAAAAAGGCAACATTCAGGCGTCAGTGAGAAGCTCCGGGGTCGCCAGGGGTTCGAGGGCGGGAGGGAGGAGCCGGCAGCGCACGGAGGATTCTGAGGGCGGTGAATCCTCTGTTCCATGCTGTGGCCGTAGCTGCCTCTCTCAAACCCGCGGAAGGTCCACCACTACAAGGAAACCCCGAGGAAGCCACGGACTCTGGGCCGTGAGGCTGGGCCAGTGCGGGCCATGCACCACGACAGAGGCTCCCCCTCCGCCCTGCCGGGGATGCCGGCCTCGGGGGCGGCTGTGCCTGTGCGTAGTGGGGGGAGGGGGGTTAATCAGAATTCTCCCGGGGGTGTCCGTGGGCCACATGCAGCCCAGGATGGCTGTGGATGCATCCCAACACAAAATCGTACGTTTACTTAAAACACTGTGAGATTTTTTGTGTGTGATGACATGTCACAGTGTATTTAATTTGTGGCCCAAAACAACTCTTCTTCTTCCAGCATGGTCCAGAGATGCCAAAAGGTTAGACACCTACTTTCCACTCGGTTTTGCCGAGAACCTAAAACTGCTCTAAAACGTAACACCTATTTTCAAAGAAAGTGCGTGTCCTGGGGGGGCGGGGAGCCCACAATACATAGTCAAAGGTCATCATTTCCCAGCCGGTACATTTTGCAATGATATGTGCCCTGGAGGGTATTGCCAGCTGCTGCTTCTGCAGGGTGGAAGGGGCACTGGCGACACCACAGGGCGGTGCGGCTGCTCCTCCGATGACTCTGACTCAGCGCGTCACCTGGGGGCTTGGACAGGACAATCCCGCAGGGCCACACTGCTGGGCCACCACCCTGCCCCCCCACACTTCCCCTCCCAGAACACACTTCGGCTGCAGCCCGTTCACCACAGTCTAAGCTAAATGTCATTTCTGCAATTCAATCTTTAAAGGATCTTCGTAGTTTTGCTTTTGAAATTATTTGGTTACAAGCAACTCCTCTGTAATTGGCTAAGCTGTCTCTGTAGAAGTCAAGACGGACTATTCCGAAAGTATTCTAAAGGGAGAAGCTCTGGACTGAGAACTCATTTCAAATGGGGTGACGTTTTAAGAATATTCACTTTTCCTTTTGATGAACTTGATCAGGGACTGCTGAGCAGTTCTTCTTTTGTAACTTCTTTTCCCGCTTTAGGGCCAGTGAATCTGACCGCTCCGTGTG